TTGCTGGCTATTTAAATATGATATTTCATTAGTAATTCAATGTTTACTTGAGATGGGGAGGTCTGGCTATGCAGGTTGGCCTTAAATGGTCAATCCTCCTGTCTCAGGCCCTAAATACTGAGATTCTGAGACTGAACCACATTTGGTGCTATAGTCCAATGCATTTGAAAGAGCTTACTGTAGACCTTGACAGACAGCTAACAGGATCTGTGGCACAAACCCAGGCCAAGCACTTTAGTTATCTGTAGGCCTCATTTCAAACCTAAGCTCTTTGCAAGCTGTTTCAGAACACCTGCTCCAGGGGCCGGAGATGGTCAGTGGTTAAGAGCACCTGCTGCTCTTGCACAGGACCTGGCTTTAGTTCCCAGCACCCATGTGGTGGCTCACAACTGTCTATAAGACCAGTTCCAGGGTCTCTGACACCCTCTCCTGACCTCTGTAGACACCAGGCACCACATGGAGCAGACACACATGCAGGCAAAGCATCCACACACACGAAATGATTTGTCAGAGAACCTGTTCCTGTTTACAGCAGCACCTCGAGGACCCTCACTTTTCTCAAGACAACACAACAGTCAACTCAACTGCTTGACTGACACTGTCCTTCTTTCTGGGAAAGTGTTCTCTATCTAGCCCATTTCTTACATATTTAGTTAGATTACAGTTTATTAGCTAAATATCAATTTCTAGACCTCTGTTCACAACAGCTGTGTTCAGTATCACAATTCAGAGTACAAATATCAAGAAAGATTTAATCTGAAAGTTTCTGTGATGGGCTTGGCTACAGACCTCCTGGGAAAAGCCTATTAACCACTAATTCCCATTTAGACTCTATTCTCACGGCCCCAACACCACATTCAGAAACCTTATAATACATACCATATATTCCACAGATCTCAAGCTAAGTCTCTTTAAAAAAAAAAAAAAAAAAGTCAACTTAGGCTTGTGGTCAACATACAGGAAATAAATCAACATGCAAATAAGTACAAAGAGGCCACTAAAAACCTACCGAAAGTACCTCTTGTTCACTATATAAAAATCTGTGATAAAAATACAATGAAGCCATTGAAGAACTTGTGATATCTTAGCCTTAGAGGACTTGGCTTTGAGGATAACCCAAGAATGCCAAGGAGCTTGTTTTCACAGGGTAGGAGTTTAGTTTAATTGTATTAAGCCACCAATAATCAGAAAAGCCATTCACTCTTCAAGACTCAGGCACAGACAGTGTACAAGGGAGTCTCCTCTGGTCGGCAACTGCAAAGAGAACTACTGGCTCCCTAAGTAAGTGCTGTGTATAGCAGACACCAAACAATGTGCTGTCAGCCTCCATCTCCAAATTTATTTTTCTTCACTTCATACAGAAGGAAATAGGTTACCTTTCCCTCCATTCACCTCAAAGTCCATACATGCTTCTAACATTCTCGTTTTCTCATTTCAGGATCTGGGACACCACTTCAGACCTGACTGCCACACTGAGGGGGACGTGAGAGTGGCAGCAAAGCAGACAGAAAAGCCAACCTATGGCAAGAACATCAGGCTTGGCAAGACAGTTCAGTCGGTAAAGTGCCTGCCTTGCAAACACAGGACTTGAGTTCAATCCCCAGAACTCATGGTGTAGAAAGCCAGGAGCCAGGCATGGTGGCATATGCCTTTAATCCCAGCCCTGGGGAACAAGCAAGTGGATCTCTGAGTTCAAGGCCAGCCTGGTTTACACAGGGAGTTCCAGACCAGCCAGGACTACATGTTGAAACAACAACCAAAAAGGAAATTTAGCTGCCCAGCAGTGTGAATTACAGCCAAGTATTTGAAATTTAGTGTAAAAATAATCCTTAGTAATAGTGAAGAAATAGTAGCCGGGCTATGGTGGCTCACGCCTTCAATCCCAGCACTCGGTAGGTAGAGCCAGGTGGATCTCTGTGAGTTCAAGGCCAGCCTGGTCTACAGAGCAAGATCCAGAACAGGCTCCAAAATTACGCAGAGAAATCCTGTCTTGAAAAACAAAAACAAAACAAAAAATAGCAAATAATTAATTCCTATTAAACACTAAAAGTGTCTTTTACCTGATTACAGTAATATATTTCTACTGTAGGACATACAGGGGTGGAGAAGTAGGAATATGAAAATAAAAGTCACATATTATAGCTTACCAAGTTAGCGTGTGTTTGTATGTGTAGCATATGTATGTGTGGAGCCAGAGAGGCTGACATTAGGTGTCTTTTTTTTTTTTTTTTTTTTTTTGTGATAGGGTCTCTCTCTGAATCTGGAGTTTACCCATAGGCTAGACAAGTTGTCAGGGATCCACCTGTCTCTGCTCCCATTGTATTAGAGATGTATGCCATCATGCTTGGCTTTTATGTGGGTTCTGGGGATCCAAACTCAGGTTTTTGTGCTCGTATGACGCCCACTTTACCAACTGAGCCATCTCCCTAGCCTTACCTTGCCAAGTTTTTAAGATCTACTGTCCACTAAAACAACAGGATTTATTTTCCAGAAGTAAGACTGTTGCACTATAAATATTCTGAAATGAGTAAGTAATGATGTAATAATTACAGAAGTCCAAAAACACATTCTCATGATCTCATCATCCCCCAGAGCACCCTGTACCAATGTAGTGCCAGCATTTGTCACCATTCCATGATGGAGCAGACAGACCTAAGAGGTGGTTTACATGGCTGAACTCTCTATTTACAAATATCATCAAGGGCTTATGCCCAAAGTCTCTGGATACAAAGGCCAGTGCTCCCTCTACACCTTCAAAAGTATTAATCAGTTACCTACTATGTGTGAAAGACTATGAATAAACATGGCAACAGTCTTAGTGTTACAACGGGAATTGAGAAAGTAGAAAAAAGTCAACTAAGAAATAAGTACAATATAAAAAAGATTATTAATAAATGCAGTAAAGGCACAAAATGCTTTAAAATTCCCAGGGAATAGGGGCTGGAGCAATGGCTCAGTGGACAGATGTTTCCTACACAACATGAGGATTTGAGATCGCATCCTTGGCACCCACATAAAAAAGCTGGGCCAGGGGGACTGGAGAGATGATTCATCAGTTCCCAGCACTCACCATCCCTAACTCCAGTATCAGGGGACCTAGTGCCTTCCTCTGGCCTCCTCTGGTACCTAACAGGCATGCAGTGCACTCACATACATGCAGGTAAAACACGCACAAACAGCTGGAGGCATGGCCCATGCCTTTAATCCTAGCCCTCAGGAGTCAGAGGCAGGTAGATCTTTGTGAGTTTGGGGCCAGCCTGGTCTACAGAGGGAGTTCCAGGACAGCCAGAGCTGTATAGTGAGACCCTGTCTCAAATCCCCACCCCCCAAAACAATCAGTCGTTGGCATTCTTCATAATAAGTCAGAGAGTTTCAGGGATTTATCCCACTATTTTCACCAGTTTACCAGTAATTCCTCACCCATTCTGACAACTTTGCTCAAGGACAGTTTTTGAATTTAAATTTCTCTGGGTGATGAGCTAAGGGCTGACTTTTTGGTTTCCAATTGTGTTGCTTTTTTTTTTTTTTTTTTTTTTTTTGATAGGGTTTCTCTGTGTAGCCCTGGCTGTCCTGGAACTCACTCTGTAGACCAGGCTGGTCTCAAGATATCCACCTGCCTCAGCTTGAATGCTGGGGATTAAAG